TTAATAATGGAATCACATTAGTTTATTTCACATACATATACATTACACATTGTGCAGTTAACTAACTAATTTATCAACTTATATGTCTCATATAAACAATCAATAAAAGCTAATGGATAAAGAAAATAGTTTTCAGTGAGATTTATAAAAGTTTCTCTATCCTTTAATCATGAACCTGTGGAATATTTTCTTTTAATGTTCCGTTGACTTACCTTCCTCCAGTGTAAATATCTAGTTCAACTATCCACACATACATAAACACAAACACACACCAAAAAAACTGAGATAAACAGCACTTTAAGCAGTGGATACCTTGAACCTGATCACAAGAAGGAATTTGATCTCCTCTCAGTATCAAGTAGACAGTCATCATAACTTTGAGACTATCTTTAAAGGTGATAAAGTCATCCAGACTTAAGAATTCACTTACTTTTGCCTATTTTTTTAAATATTTTTTGTTTATTAAAACCAAAGGCACGAAGTTTGTCTGTGGTATGGAGTATGCAGTTGCACACAGAAAAATAAATTAGTCCATAGAAAAAGAAACAAAAATAGAATAGTGTGAAATTCATATTCATCTACATAAATACGTGAATCCTTGTAATCATTAAAGTGTGTATAGCATACATTAACCTGTTTGTGAACAAGACATTACTTCATTTGAGCACAGGTAAAATAAACAAGAATCTTAGTTTCAAATAACTTTTCCGCTGACGGAGATTAACTAAGCCTGAAGCCTCAAAATCGTAGTCACCTCCTTTCACCAGAAACACTTCTACTAGAAGGAGAACAGAAAGCCTGAGAAGTGCAGTAAACCGGCAGGAAAGATATATGTCTCCTGGAGAATGATTAATCTAGCTTTTGAATGTCGAGATAAACAGCACAAAGTAAGTCTTTCTTGCATGTGTTTGCATTTGACTATTAGTAATAACAGCACCATTATTATTACAGGTTTCTTATATAGAATTCTCCATTTTCTCCCTTATAACTTTTATTAAAGCAATGATATGGCCAGTGAAAGATGTACTGTAGTTAAAATAAGAATTAAGACCGTAAGCTCGAGGTTTTGATTTATCAGTTAACTAGCATATCAGTTGCGAACCTCGTATTTATGCGACAGGCATCACAAAATACGTGATGATTCAGATTAGATTAAAGCTCGGTAGACAGTATGATCTTACATTTTATTTGACAGATCTTTAGGCATCTAACACGAGGATAATTCATCTGAACCGTGCCTTCATCTATCTTCTTCTTGAATATTTTGTTATGAACATGGGGTTAAATATGTTGAATCCAATGGTGTATGTCAATCAGATACGTGGATGAGATGAGAGACCTGTTGACCTAGATTTTCTGCTTATTAGAAAATATCCATTAATTAGTGATCACCGCTTCAAAATAAAGTATTTTATCACAAAACATATCGTATTTTTAGTTTAGATTTTGGATATTTTTCGTAATTCATAGTGTAAAGAAATAGTTGTTACACCACATTTTATTTTTGTATGCCTTCTTCAGAGCAATATTGATTTTCTTCAGAATCAGGTTTTCATAAAGTTAGGATTATTGACCCATGTATTACGTAATTTCAGAATCTTCGCGTCACAGGAAACGGTTAAAAATCTGTTTAGTCTTAAAAAGAAACCATTTATACATCCCTTGGTAATTATTTCTCACTAATATTATTCACTTCTAGCGTCTAACATACTATGCCGTAGCATAATATTGTGTTCATATTAAGAAGGACTTGTTGAACAAATTTTTTCAGGTAAAGGATTGACAGGATAATCTAACTTTGAATGATTAAAGACCATTTGTAAGCATCAGGACTCAAAATAGTTTACATTCCTAAGATCACAGAGGTATATATTCTTTTACAGTGCACAAAACATATATTTCACAAGAAATATGACCCAAAGTGAATTATGCAACTATAAACCTGTCTTACCAGATAAAAACCAGAGGTGATAATTCTTATAAATACAAAACTTAGGCCACTGTGGTAGATTTGAGTTCCATTTTAGATCGCTTATTGAGTGTCTCAGACAATGAAACATTATCATTTTGATGAATAGAAGAAATTGACAAGAAGACCTAGAACTAAGTCTCATGCTTACTGACACTCATCGGCAAAGCATATCTGCAATCTCGAAGGAACAGAAGGTTAATTATGGTCTGATACGCCCAGTGGTAACATACCCAACTGTAGCACTGGGTTATGCAAGTTTGGATTTTTCAGGTGATATCAGTTTCCTCGATACTGCAAGTACGGCTTGCTGTCAAACATTAAAAAGCATGAAATCTAGTTCTATGAGTTCTTACTGATTGCCTAGAACAAACTTACATTCGAGAAAACAGTAAGAAGACGCAAGTTAAACCTATATTCATCAAAAGGCACCGTGATACTGAGTCTATTAAATTGGTGACCATATTAAAAATTGATGTTCGGAATTCGGAAAACAATTTGGATAAGACAACACGAAATCGGTTACAGTAAAGCGACTGGTCACAGCGTCCAACAGTACTATTCATTGGATAACACTTTGGACACAATTTACTGCCCAAATTCATAATGATATGACTGTGAGTAGAAGATTACGTCCCAAATAGTATTCATTAGGTAATATTGTTTCACCGTGTAGCACATTTAATAAGCCTAATTATTCTTAATGCATTTGATATTTCTGTTCGGTGTTTTTGACCATTCTACCAGGAACTCTTCTTAACCAAGACCTACTTGTAAGTAGCATTTTGACTACACCGGATATATAGATTTAAAGGGCAATCTTCTTCCAACTTAGTTTCACATATAAGCTTGACTGTTCGTCAACTTGAATTACTCTGCAGATCACAGCTTGAAATGTACCACATATCCACAAAAGGGGATGAGTTCTAAGCAGTTGGATAATATCCTGTGTGATTTGGCACAAAAATGAAAGAAGACTAATAGTTGACCCAAATGCTCAGCATGTCAGACAAATCTGCCTCTACAACACTGGTATCTATAATGACGTTCTGACTCTGAGTTAGACAGAAAAGATAATTTGAATGCAAACGTTTCAGTCGACATGTCTAATGCACGCCTCTTTTATCAACGAAATTTGGACATGCCTTACGCTAACTTACTCATTGTCTGGTCTTTTCATTTCAATGTGTTATCGCAAGCCAAAGAACCGGAAATTGGAATGTCTCACTTAGATAAGTTGCAGTAATTCAGTTGAATTTTAAAATAAATAATCTATTTTATGTCATTTCATGGTGAATATCACCTTGAAATAAATAGAATCCCCATCAACCTCAAACTACATTACTTTATATTGCTTACTAATGACATGCTTCCATATAAATATCTTGAAGTTCGAATGAGAAGCCATGCGTGACCTGTGGGGTCAACCAGTCGGAAGTAAAGCAAATACCAACTGATGGTTTGGTGGATAGTCGGCCTATATCGCTAAATGATGGAAGTAGAAAACTGCACCATTGAATTCCAACTCAGTGACTGAATAGTTAATACGTCCACCGCGAGACCTAAAGGTCTTGAGTTCGATCTCCAGCTAAGTGATGAATGAGTATATGTGAGGAGTCCCATACTCGGACAATATAGCTGTTTAGCGCTACCAGGCTTTAAGTAGCTCTCCAACTAACACTAGTCTGGGATGAATACTACCTTGAAATACTTTTATCTCCCTTGTATATCGTCAAAAGGAACTAAGGTTTCCTGAAAAGTAAATGTCAGGCACTTCTGTGCCGATAGGCATTCTTGTCAAAAAATACAATAAAATACTAAAGTTTCAACTTTAAAGTAGTTGAAAAGTAATTTCCGTATTCTAAAACACAAAAAAATTACTCTCGATACTGAAGATCAGGTGACCAGAAAGAATGATCAACAAAGAACTCTGTCTAGCTGCCTGGCAACGAACTAACCAAGAACCTAACACCCAACAAGTATGCAGAAGAAAGTGGAGCTGGATTGGACATGCACTGAGAAGACCATTCGGGGACATCACGCTCCAGGCCAGGCACTCGAGTGGAACCCAGATGCGAAACGACGAGTTTGGCGTCCGAGGAGAGAATGAGGTGGAGGAGATGCTATCAGGAAGAAATGAGTGCATGTGGGCAGTCGTGGCGCCAGGTTGAAAAGACTGCAGAGAAAAGAGTGCAATGGAGACGTGCTAATGAAGCCCTATGTTTCACTAGAAACCTAAGGCACAAATAATAATAATAATGAAGCACAAAAGAATAACTCGGATCATTTCTCATAGCAGAAGTACTCGAACTTATGATGAATATGAGTGCCATATAGTTGAATGTCAATAATGATGACATTTCATACCAATAATAATAGGGTTTATATTGGCTGGTGGGGGAATACACTTTGATCGAGGCTCTAACCATGAATCTTTCATCTTTCGACGCAGAGATAATAAAAGCCAATTAACTCCGATAAATAGTAACGCTTCATTTTAGCTAATCATTATGTGTACTAGCCACACAGTATACTCTTATTGAAAGAAATCTAACGAAATATTGATTGCCAAAGAAAGTAATAAGTACCATGTAACAGCCAATACTTATACCAATAGTTTTATTCTTCTTTTTAGATGGTTTCATAACACATCATTAATATTTTATGCTGAAGCTTACGTTTTATGCACAACAGTAAACTGCATATAAAATGACTTTATAATATCTCAAAAAACTATTGATGCATCCAACTCCAAGTGTAATCTCAGTTCATATTTACAACATGACTAAATTGATTTTCGATGTAACAGTATTCAAAAAAACACTATAATGATTCAAAACCTGGCATTTTAACAAATATCCAGTAACACACATTTCGTCTTCTGATAAATTTGAACAAATCAGAAATGAATAACTACTTAGAGAATAAAATGAACTTGCATTACCATATGGTTCTTTGACTACATACAAACAACATGAGATTACAATAGTTATCGGAGTCTTCCAATTAGGTAGGATAATAAGACGTATGTATGGGTAATAGATTAGTAATTACAGTGGTATTGAATACTAGTGAATCTGTTATGTGTGGTAAGTAAAAACAACATTTTTTAAGCCATAACAATCACTACCAAGTAACCGAATAAAAGATTTACCATTTGTAAAACTTGAAGATCAACGCAAGGGAAGAAGTAAGCAAAACTATCTAAGAAGTTACACAACGTATGGAAGAAACAGAGTGCCAAATTAGCTCAGCTCACCAAATGAAGAGAAAAAATTGAAATCACCAACAGTGAAGACTGTTAACTAGTGAAAGATGCATTCTAAACTCGAGCAGCAGTAAATTGCCTACCTTCTACTGTAGAGCTCAGTACATCGGCCATACAATGCGCCAGCCCATGCAACGCACAAGCGAACACTACCCAACTTGACTGTCCAGAGGAGAATGGAAATGAATCTTCAGCTCCGTAACAGAACATCTAGTAAACTCAGGACACCTGGCTCCCTTTCATAAGTCCTACAAACTTTTGTACAAAATGCACCCAAGCCGCAAGAAAGAAGTGACTTTAGGAAATCTAGGTATCCCTGAGGCATTAGCAATTCAAAAGTCCATACCATCATTATTCATTCAAAAGAAGCTAGTACAATCTCCTTCTTTGCCATGGCCATCGTAGAGTAACGACTACTCTAAATAACTCCCATATGACACAACTACTTTTGGTTTTGTAGTTATTTTTATTTTCTCATTTTTGTTCCCCACTGATATTGCGTAACTTCCCTTTGTCAAAGAATTTATATATTCATAAATCTACACCTAAGCAGATGATTGTGTCGAAAAGAAAATATTTTCTTTCCTGCAATCATCTGTGTTTTTCTATGGTCAAGCAAGTTTTTTCGATATTACTTAGTCATTTGGATGATGTTCATCACTGCTGAATATCACTTCTTAAATAATCCTTGTGTTTTAACCCCCAGTATGTCATCCTATACAATCAGTGTATGCAATTTCATAGTTTTATAAAACTTTTCTTTTTAATTTTAGAATCATCGCCCTAACCGAAACATTTCTGAAAATCTTCAAATTCATACAAATGAGTCTGAAGATTTACCCTCCATCTCCACATTCTTACCAGTATCAAAGCACCAAGCATTTAAGCAAAAACTGAGTGGATCATATTCTTTAACAAGACGTCAATATCAAACTTGTCCTCGTAATACCGCCTACTGCAGTTCCACAAAGCATATCCGAGAACGCAACGGCTCTAATTCGAAATTACTGAAACAAACTTCAACCACCTGTCGAAATAAAAGTAACATGAAACTCAACTGCCTAAGAAGTAACAAACTGGATATATTACCTAGTGATGGCGGTAATAACAACTGTGATCTCAGAGCACTTCATAACCCCATTTTATTTGATTCAGACTTTCCTAAAATCCATGACAATCCTATAATAAGTGGAAACAAATCGCAGTTGAATAATCACCGCAAACGAATTTATGCATACGGACCTATAAAGTCGAAGAAATGCCTACAATATTCACCAAAACGTGTTAAAAAACCAAGCACCAACAATCTTACGGATTTAAAGTTAGAATTATTCAAAAACCAATTGTTTGATTCAAATTTACCGCCTACATTTTCTAGCATCAATGAAGACAAAAATAATCTGATGAAAATAATGCAAACAGAAGATATTTATTCAGATGAGATCCCTTCAAAGCAGCACGAAAATAGTAGTGGTGATAACCTCTATCACAATAAGACATCACAAGCAACCAGCGCTGCATATGAAGTTGGCGAATTTTTCCAGTTAAACAGCTGTATTGATCCAAAAGACACTAAAAGTCATATGATTGATACTAATTATCACCAGGTAAAGTCATCCTCAGAAGAAAGTCAAAATTATCATCTGAAACATTTACTGACAAAAAAGCTTGGTCAGTCCACATCAGCTTTATCTCCACTATCTTCATCAATGAAAAAAACTCCTCAGTTTAGTGTTGATTACGAGTTGTCTTTTCAACAAATTAGCCAATCATTACAACAGAATATTAAAAAACAGTTGCACGGATTACCCAATTCAATGTTCAATAATAATGGTACAATTAATCCTTCTCAGTTGAGTTGTTTAAGTTCATACTCTTCAATGGGTTATGACAAACCTTTGGATTTACGAAATCCAACACATCTTGACTGTAATACTTTATCGCCCAGAAAGAATCAAAGTACTCACAATTATAATAAACTTTGTGATGAGAATCGAGTAGTTGATGAAAAGTTTTCTTCAATTAAAAGTATTAATTTAAATGAGATTTGGTCAGCTGTTCTCTTATGGTTGCATAGAAAACAAAATGAACATTCAAAAATAATTCAGGGTAAGTAACAATTGAATTTACACTCTTCTTATTTATCCCACTAAAATTTTTTAGTACTTAAATAGAGCTATTCTTTTAACAATAATTTTCGTTGTTAACTAAAATCACTTGATAAATTACGAGGAACGTTGAAGAGGCGGAACGATGACTAATCCTGTCCTGCGACCAACTCTACTGATTTCTTTAAGTGTTCACTTCATGATCAACTGATGTACATTACTAATCATTATTCTTCTCAAAACAATATAAACAAACCTTTCAATGAACTGATCACCAGTAGGCCAGCATTTAGCCGTTGAGATCTTGGTGCTGAGCATTAATCGAGGTCTATCAATCATGTTTTGCAATGTCACCACCAGGTGAACTGAAATGACAATGGGGTGCATTCTATTTTGTTTCGGCATCAGAAGGCAGTCGATAAATTTTGACCAGTGCTCAGCTTTAAGGAATAGACAGCTATATAGGTTGCCCAACAGTAACCAATTCGTGTACACAATCCAGTCCTAAACGGAGTCAATCGTGATCGAAATAGTGAAAGTGTTAGCTCTGTAATTTTGGCACTGAGTGACACAGGTACAAATCACTAGAGGACAGCGATTTTTCGTGTTAGCAGATACGCCCTGCTGATGAGTCCCAGTAGGCACGAAATCTAGTTTAGAAGGACTTCCTGCCTAGTGACTTTCAACTTCTAGCACTTAAATAGATCCCTCTTTAGTATTTAAAAAGGGTTAAAACATACACAAATTTAATCCAGGTAGACAGTATGGCAAATATTTAAAACAAATACTTTTTCAGTCACTTTGCTGCAGAGTCAACTAGACGGTATTACTTCTAGGCCAAAAAATGCTGTGGATGACATGGCTACCGAAGAATATGAAAACTTTTCGATCATATTATCACACAACAGCATATCAGCTGCTCAAATTCAGAGTGTATGAACAGATGGATTCTTAAAGTTGATACTTTTTCTTTGTGATTCACTAAGTATATTGATAACGAAGGAAAGAAACAGTTGACCATTTTTCTGATAGCTTTGATCTGCATAGCGTAAGCTGTGAGCCTTGTAGATGTCGGTTGACTATCTTTATTATTTATGATTCTGTTTCCTTGGAGGATTACTAATAGACTATCCTCAGTTTCCAAAAGCAACATGTTTACTAAATGCACAAAAATACTACAGAAATAGCCCACTAAAATGTAGGTTAGAACAATAAGTAGTGGAATTTCAACCAAGAATATCATCAGATCACAAAAAGTGTACATTAACCGTTTGATTTCAAAAATAACTGTCGTAGTCCCACTTTGATGTGAATCACTTACTTTTCCACCGTTTTGTTTGCAAAACTCATTGGGGAAAGCGATATATTATGGTAATGCTTCATTCCTGAAAGCAAATCATCATCTTAATGGCCATTGAGTAGAGGCAATTACACAAATTTGTAATTTGAACTTGAAGCAGCATTGACGCTGGTTCACGCTAAATCTCCTCACTTCTCGTTGTCATGTGTACTTTTTCCAATAGTCTTAGCTATCTACTGGCATGCGTATCTCGTTTTGAACTCTTCCGTTTGCTGTCAATGAGCTTCTTTTCATGGTTTCCACGTTGAATTGCGTAGTGTTCTTCTTATTGTGCTTGAGAAGGAAGATCTGTAACATCTTCAGGTGTCGACATATTTTTATATGGCGCTTAAAATTTCATATTATTTTAGTCATCAGTATTTTCGAGATCCTAGAAACGTTGTATTCGTAGATAGATCTAATTAACGTATCGCTGACTTGAAAAGTTGAAACTATATTTGGTGGCAGCATCCCATGTTTACTTTCCCATTATACTGGCTTATTTGTTAAATACAATACGGTTAGAAAGATACATATAACATCGTAATAAAACTCAAAAGTTATGTATATTTCCACTTATTATGCTATGATCTAGATCCATACAATTAGAATTAGTTATACTAGTAGTCTCTTGAACTTCAGTAGATCGAAGGAGATCTTAATTATTATTGAAATAACCCAAGTTGATCACTAATTTCACACTTTAAATGCCACAAACATGAATTTTAAATACACTGACTTATCAGTTATCCTGTAAAAAACATTTAAAAATCAACTTAAAATGTAGCTACTTCACAACATCTGTATTGTTCAGGGCCCAAGTCAAACGTGAGGATAGTCACTCAGCAGCCTCACTGAAAGGAGGTCATGCTATGTCGTGAGCTGACAGAAGTAGGAGGATGTAAACCACTGAACTTTGACTTAGTGACTGAACGTAATATGCTGACCATGCAACCTGAAGGTCTCGGATTCGATCCCTGATAGGGTCGTAGGTGTACATTGCTGAGGAGTCCCATACTAGTATGAAACAGTTGTCCAGTGCTCTCAAGTTTTCAATGGTTCTCCAACTGATATTAGTCCATGATGAATACCAACTTAAAACTGCAGATTAGTTTAGAAAGCACAATACCAAATAAACTGCTTGAGATTTTAACTAAAGTAACAGTGATATCGCTTAACTTAGGTACACAACTTTCAGGATCAAACATCAAATCTTGAAGAAAACTAAAGAATTACCATCCTTATTCTGAAGTACAAATCTTTTCTACTAATTTTGTGTATCTTAACAAAATTGGGTCACAATAAAGAAAATACAGTGACCATTTAAGACTTTTTCATAAGAAAATTATTCTTATAGTAAAGGGATAATTCCCATGAATGGTTTATTATATCTGACATTAATTATCATATGGTTAAGCTATATGTAAGTAACGCAGATCACTTTTCATTCAACATCGAATAGAGTTTAAGTTCTACTCTTTAATTTTGATCACTTAGAAATCAAAAGACTCAGAAGAAAAAAGTGATAATGACATTCAAGTGTTTTTAAAATAAATATTCTGTTCAATGAGAAGTGTGAAGGAAAGTATTCAAGGGCTTATCATTTTCTTGAAAGTGCTCTATGGTGTGGTAATTAATATTCTAAGCAAACCACTTGATTCCCAGCCAGTGTTAATCGCTGACTGACATCCTTTAGAGCAGCACTAAGATACTGAGTACACCAAACAACCACTGTTTACTTGTTTGAGGCTCCTCAGTGATGCGAAGAATCAAGCTCCAGCATGTTGGTTCTCCTGACAAGCAAGTTATTATCCAACCACTGGGTTCGAGTCCGACTTCATGTTTTCCCACTGCTACTGATTTGAGACAAGGAGTGGTCGTCACCCACGTTGCTCCAGACCTGACTGACTCCGCAGATCATCAGAGCATCATGAAATCCATCCTGAAACAAGTTGCTAGTGAGCATTGGATCATAATTCATTTAAATACTTTCTGGGTGTGGATTACTGATGAGAGTCAAACTAGGGTGAACCAGGTGTCCAGTGCTTGAAGCTTTTCAACTGTTCTCAAACAGATATCTATCACTGATGAAAACTACCTTCAGAAAAAAATCCCTAAAACTCCAATTGTGAAATCACCTAATTGTTGATTTTATCCATCAATTACACGTACACACACACACACACAAGAAATTGACCAGAGTAGAAAAAATTCTTCAGTTTTTCAGATGTTCATTTGTTCTAGTTTGTATTCATTACAACTGGATGTTAAAATGCCAGACACAACAACACTTGCTACTTCCTTGAATCTGATGACCTAATATAACTGAGTTGTGATTTAATTTATAAACTAATTTGTACATTGATCGATGACTGGCGGACAATCAATTTCCTGTTGTCTAGTCTTGAGTGCTAATCGAATTCTATCAATCATTTTGCAATGTGGCCAACAAGTTAGGAGGTTTACTGTCACGGTGTACTTGAATGAATGCTAGTTGACTGGGGCCAATCAGTAGGAAGCCCGTTGCTGTAGTGAATCAAATTGCTCGACCACTGTTAGCAAACGGACACCTATGTGGGGACCTCAATGCTGCAGAATACTCACCATGTTACCTCCATCTTCGTCACTAGCAGTGGAATTCATAGCATGCATTTCTTCCCATTTGGGACTCGTCAACTAGATCCACCAGCACCCGAAACGAATTATATTGTTTGCAACGAGACTCGAACGCAGTACCCATCTCTTCAAACGCCGAAGCGTCATCCACTAGTATATCCAACATCACATGCATCGGGGTCAAACAATTCGACCCAGTATGGCAAAACAAAACTATAACTATCAAACAACCACTGATACCTGTTGGATAAGAGGTAACCCTCCTACCATAGACCTCTAAAGGATAATGCCTTGGCGTATGAAGTGATGGATACTGGGTTCGAGTCTCAGTGTGAACAACATCTCTAACTAAGATGTCGGTACATCCAGCTGACAGGTCCCAAATAGAATGAAACGCGCATCCTGGATTCCACTGTCAGTTATCAATATGGATGCAACATAATTAGCATTCTAATTTCAAGTCTGGAACTTTGTCCAAATTAAATCAATTAAAAAATGTCTTCACAAATATTCGAATAACTGGCTTGTAATCAAAAGGGCTCCCAATTACCAGGTGCTCACTGCTCAAATTTACGATATAACCATAAGTCTAAGTGCAGTGACACCATGTTGCTCTGTGTTTGGCTTTAGACGTTGGCAGTAAACTACTTAGAACTGCTTACACTAAGTTATTTGTCTGCTGATTAGAAGATTTCAAACACCTCTCTGAACTTAGTAGTTGAGGTGGTTACCATATACCAATCAATTTATGTGAATTATTCACTCTTATCAAAGATCACTTGTGAGTTAAACAGTTTAGCGATAGAATCTCCGACTTTAAAACCAAATGGTATAGTTGAGCAGATCTCCAAAGAAAGGTACACTTCCTCAGGGTTACAGACCTGCCTTGTTGAAGAATATCTACAACCACGAAATCTCGATGAAACAGACCTTTAAGTGAACTACTTCGTAGCATTTAACATAACCGGTGGTATGGATACTGATCCAAAACTGCTTAACATTTGAATAAGCTGCTATGTTTTCCTTTTCTTTAACTCTATCTACTAAATTTGTACTATTTTCATGTATCATGATGTATAGAATGAGGTGCGATAAAGGTGGTCAAAAGATG